TTATATGTGACTTTTGCTCATTTTTTATTTTATGGGTGTTTTGATTATTTTCTATTTTACACGTGTCTTTTGCTTGTTTTTTTTATTTAATACGTGTCTTTTGCTCATTTTTTAAATTTCATACGTGTCTTTTGCTCATTTTTAAAAAAATTATGTGTCCTTTTTTCATTTTTTTCATTTTATATGTGTCTTTTGCTTATTTTTTATTTAATATGTGTCTTTTGCTCATTTGTTTTATTTTATATGTCTTTTGCTCATCGTTTTATTTTATATGTGACTTTTATTTATTTTTATTGTATATATGTCTTTTGATCATTTTTATTTTATATATTACTTTTTCATTTTTTATTTCATATGTGTTTTTTCTAACTTTTTTATTTTATATGTGCCATTTCTTCACTTTTTATTTTGTATGTTGATATAATGGAATATGCGTACACCTGTATTCCCCCCCCCCACTGTAATATGATTGGCTGGTGTCCGCCATAAATACAGACGGACGTGTAGGTACGACAGAGTCAGAAGAGCCTTAGTCTGAGAGCTATGTCTATAACGACGCCCTTTGGACTACGCCATTGATTTACACTTCTTATCTGCGACTACGACGCGTACCAGCCGATTACTGCTACCATATTCTACTTGGTTGTAGTAGCCAAAACCACTTAGCTACTTCGTTCAAATATATCATTTCCGGGACATATCATATGTGCTTCTTCGTCATTTCTTATTTTAAGTGTGCCTTTTCTTCATAATTTTTTTATTTATTTTATATGTGTTTTTTGCACATTTTTTTTATCTTGTATGTAGTATCCATTTACTGTATTCATTTTTTCTTTTATTTGTATATTTAATTTAATTTTTATTTTCCTTTTATTTTTGCTTGAATTTCGAAATACCTTTTTTTTTATTATCCTTTAGTTTTTATACATTTTGCTTTCTTATAAATTGCTATTTCAACTTTCGAAGTCATATACGGATTCACTTAGAGATTCATGAGCGTACCAATTTTCCAAAAAGCGGCCTCGTCAAAAACTACTCAGTAAATTTTATTTCTCTAATTTAGTTCACAAAATGACACCTCAGGGTTGAAGCTTTAAGATGACAATAATCTAAGCGAACAATAAATTGCCAAATAAGAGGATATTCTATTTTCAAAACTCCTATTAAATACATTAGCTATTTACAAGTTATGCTTCAGAACTGAAATAATATTACGATGTTAGGATATGGTAGTTGTTCCAAAACTATCTGGAAAGATAAATCTTCGACATTGAAAAAAAAAAAGAATTACAACGAATAATCCAAGAAATAAATCGAAGAAATAAGATGCTATATAAGCTTCCTATGCATCATCTGTGTAGACTGCATCACAAAAGACGCAGTGCGAGTTGCCATCAAAAAGGAAATAGGTCCTATAGAAGAACATAAGGTGACCGACAAGAAGAGGAAGTTGAAATGGTATTGTCGTGTCACATGAGCCAATAATCGACTACAGGATCCCCCTCAAATTAAAGAAGGGGAGGTATAAATGGCTGACAATTTCATAGAATAGACTGGAAGATCATTGATATAAAATCGGAGATTGGCATATAAGAGACTCATATGAAAGAATATGATCAGATAAACAGCAATATATTTAATTTAATTTTTATTTTCCTTTTATATATCTGATAAACAGCAACGCAGCGACCCTACGACCATATTTGGTATATTAACGATGAGAATGATGATGATGATTTCTGAAGAACGTAATTGTTGCGATTAATGGGAGAAAAAATCGCTGCACAATTGTTCATATTAATGTATAGAAAGGTAAAATTAATTTTTCTCAATTATTAAGATTATCTTTCGAAGCACCGACCTGAAATGAGCATTTTTTTTCTTATCGAAGAAAGATTTTGAACCCTTAGAAATATGTCCACCATGAAATTTCCAATCGTTTGAATTCTACACACACGACAGAAGGAACCATCACCAGAGGAATCTTTCTTCTAATAGAACTCTGAAAGGAAACAAATGGTTATGCTAACGATAATATATCTGTTTCTTAGAAAGGAAACGTTCAATATGTATTAACCATGTATCAGTAATGTTTTCTGGTGAAATTTCTAAAGTCTTACTCTTAAAACAATTTTTAAAAAGATAGTTTACTCAAGTCCAGTAACTGTTATCGTTCTTTCCAATAATGATGTTTTTTTTTCTTTCTGTTTGAAGTCTTATGGAATGTCAACAAATTGATTATACATTATTTTCTCGTCGAATACCGTGTAATACTCATTTTAGCAATTGCTGCTGTTAAAAGACCTGAAGTAATTTGATTTCTGTTATTTGGTACAGTTCTTTTTTGTAATCATGTTGCGCCAGTCAAGAAAGTTTCAAAGAAGACTGGTCTACAACAAGGCCCATCGGTTTCATTCCTTCAATATTGCTTTTAACTATAGATATTTCTCGACGACTTTGTTACCATTCCTGGCATCCATACAAAAGTTTCGGTCTGATGAGACTAAGAACAGGAATCAAGTTTTCAGGTTAATGTTTTGGTATTGCAACATATTCTTTGTTATACTAAATTTGTTATAACCGATGCATACAGCGAGGTATGTGAAGTGAAGAGGCCTGCCACGTGGAACTAGAAAAATCTACCCCTGGGGACGAAATAAAGGGTTCAGTTCAAACTTCGACTCACCTGAAGAAAGACGGAGCGTACAACAGCTAAAACGTCGGAAAACTGCCCGAACAATGTAAATAATTCCATGCCATTAATTTTTATGATGTCTTCAGTGTAGTAGCCATTACTGCTTTCATTCCAATTCCAGATTATACAATCTGTTTTAGAATGGTTTCTTTTAACTTCTGTTTCTTGGAACTCATATTTCTTGCCTTGGAATGGTTTATCCTGATTCCTATTTCTTGATGAAGGAGGTGGATTTACATTATTTACATTATTCGGATTATTTTCCTCATCTTTTTCGCTATATTTATTACAACATTTTGGCCGTTGTACGCTCCGGACTTCTTCATAATTCTTCTTCAGGTGGTTGGAATGTCGAACTGAACCCTTTAACTTCGCTCACTGGGGTAGACTGTTCTAGTTCTACGTGCCATGTTTAATGGATATCAGTTATCAATTATAACTTATTTATTCCCGTCTCCAAGATCTCTACTGCCTTAACCGGGTATTGAACACAGTGTTTGGATCGTCTCATTGGATCTAACCAACGCCTTTATCCACTGCGCCATGAGGACATCTGGGTATGAATTTCTGGGTATTTCTTCAGACACATACTGAAAAACTTGCAATAAGCCAACACATGAAAACTCCAAAAGACCGAAAATGATGACCCAATATCAATGCCTTGTATGCAGAAAAATATGGCGCTGTAGATTCTTAACTCAGAAAGCATCAGTGGAAATATCTCGGACAATTTCTTATAAAGATATGTATTTATATATATATTTGTCATAATCGATCAACGCAACTATTTTAGCCTGATTCAAGGACACGCTAGTGGGCCACGCGGTAAAGATCGAACTCACTACTCAATGTAGTTTCCGAGATGAGGTTACTAACCATTAGCAACGTTAGCAAGCGGCGTATTTTCAATTATTAGTGCTGATAAGACTTACAGGAAATATACAGAATGACATAGCATAGAAATTGCGTCTAATGCACGTCTATCTTGATTTCTGCGTGGGTATTGTTCCAGTTAATTGGATGACATACATATTGAAAACCGAGATTGGGACACGGGTTACAGTATCCCCACTGATAAGAAAAGAAAGTACAATACGAAGTTTGCTATGAGAGCGAACAAAGAACGTGGTGTGTGTGTAGGGGGGGTGAATGAAACCAGGAGATTACATTATGTCATTTCTTTCCGTTTATAAGAACCGGCAGATCGTATCTGTCTCTTTCCTTTTCATTCAAGAGAATCCTCCAATGAAAAAATCTCTTACGGAGAGGCCTATTAACAGCCATCCATCCATCTATCCATCCATATATATATATATATATATATATATATATATATATATATATATATATATATATATATGACTTAAAATCACAACTCTAACACGGTTTTTATCTGGCATATTAAAAAAAGAAAGTTTCATTACTAAGGATCTTTTTTCAGAAAACGAAATCCGTGAAGATCTATCTTTTCATGAGCTGTGGTAAGACATTCCTCTGCAAGGATAGAATCACTAATATAGATAGATAGATAGATAGATAGATAGATAGATAGATAGATAGATAGAGATAGACAGAGAGATAGATAGATAGAATGCTTGATTGATTGATCAACAGAGCAATAGATAGATAACAACAGAATGAAATAGAAAGGTAGTTAGGTAGATAGATAGATCGATCGATCGATCGATAGATAGATAGAAAGATAGATATCAACAGAATGAAATAGAGAAAAACAGAATTAAATAGATAGATAGATAGATAGATAGATAGATAGATAGATACATACATACATACATACATACATACATGCAATTATACATACATGTATACGTAGGTACGTGCGTATATGATGCTTGACAACTCGTTGAACCAGCATGACCATAGCTGTCAAGTTTATCTTCTTTTTTTGTTTCTCTTGAGAGAGAAAAAAGACTGTTGAATCCTGCAGGTGACTTTCAATACATGTTGCATATATTGAAACCTAAATTATTTTGTACGAGGCTTGGCCTGTTTTTTAATGCCAGTTCAGCTTGCTCGTGGCTTCCCATTTGATGGCAGGTACTAGATTGGTTTATGCAGAGTTTCCGACACACACTGACACAAACACATGTTAAATTATTTCCAGTGTAGCGCTGATCATGATTTATTAATATTCGAGCAATATGACTAATTTTGTAGTTAAAGCCGTCAACATTAGAGTGGCATACTCTGCCACTTTCATCACATGTAAATTGATGGATTGCAGGATCAAAGATTACTCCTTTCCTAACTTCAGGATTGACATTTGCTCAACGCATTGCATATTCTAAACATGCATATGTAGATAGATAGATAGATAGATGTGAACCGACTTAGACATAGATAGATAGATAGATAGATAGATAGATAGATAGATGTGAACCGACTTAGACATAGATAGATAGATAGATAGATAGATAGATAGATAGACTGACAGACATATTGATGTGAACCGACTAAGACATAGATAGATAGACAGACATATTGATGTGAACCGACTTGATACATACATAGATAGATAGATAGATAGATAGATAGATAGATAGATAGATGTGAACCGACTTAGACATAGGTAAATAGATAGATAGATAGATAGATATGATAGATGATGAACCGACTTAGACATATTGATAAGATAGATAGATAGATAGATAGATAGATAGATAGATAGATAGATAGACTGACAGACATATTGATGTGAACCATATAGACTAAGACATAGATAGATAGACAGACATAGACATGATGTGAACCGACTTAGACATAGATAGATAGATAGATAGATAGATAGATAGATGTGAACTTAGACATAGATATAAGACATAGATAGATAGATAGATAGATAGATGTGAACCGACTTAGACATAGATAGATAGATAGATAGATAGATAGATAGATAGACTGACAGACATATTGATGTGAACCGACTAAGACATAGATAGATAGACAGACATATTGATGTGAACCGACTTAGACATAGATAGATAGATAGATAGATAGATAGATAGATAGATGTGAACCGACTTAGACATAGGTAAATAGATAGATAGATAGATAGATGTGAACCGACTTAGACATAGATAGATAGATAGATAGATAGATAGACTGACAGACATATTGATGTGAACCGACTAAGACATAGATAGATAGACAGACATATTGATGTGAACCGACTTAGACATAGATAGATAGATAGATAGATAGATAGATGTGAACCGACTTAGACATAGGTAAATAGATAGATAGATAGATAGATGTGAACCGACTTAGACATAGATAGATAGATAGATAGATAGATAGATAGATAGATAGATAGATAGATAGACATATTGATGAACCGAGAAGACATAGATAGATAGACAGACATATTGATGTGAACATAGACTTAGACATAGGTAAATAGATAGATAGATAGATAGATGTGAACCGACTTAGACATAGATAGATAGATAGATAGATAGATAGATAGATAGATAGATAGACTGACAGACATATTGATGTGAACCGACTAAGACATAGATAGATAGACAGACATATTGATGTGAACCGACTTAGACATAGATAGATAGATAGATAGATAGATAGATAGATAGATGTGAACCGACTTAGACATAGGTAAATAGATAGATAGATAGATGTGAACCGACTTAGACATAGATAGATAGATAGATAGATAGATAGATAGATAGATAGACAGACATATCGATGAGAACCGACTTAGACATGGATAGATAGATAGATGTGAACCGACTTAGACATAGATAGATAGATAGATAGATAGATAGACATATTGATGTGAACCGACTAAGACATAGATAGATAGACAGACATATTGATGTGAACCGACTTAGACATAGATAGATAGATAGATAGATAGATAGATAGATGTGAACCGACTTAGACATAGATAGATAGATAGATAGATAGATAGATAGATAGATAGATAGATGGATAGATTGCACGATCAATAGTTTCCCCTTTCCTAACTTCATATTATTCCATATTCTAGACATACATAACCTGAAAATTAGATATGGAGATATTGAAAGAGACAGATAGGTGAATATGTTGAAATAGAGAAATAGATGAGGATATGACAAGATACATAGATAGAGAGAGGTTGAGAAGAGGAGGAGGAGGAGGAGGCGATAGAGATGATCATCTAGAATGAGATATAATTCAGACAGATGTATAAATAAATAGCAGTGTCCTAAAGAAAGTTGTTTTTTTCTTAATTCCGATCCTATTGCACGTGATTATTTAAAATCAGTCTCAAATTTCAATCGAATTTTTACATTATCTCCCTGAACAATACCAATATCTAGTCAATATCTATCTGTTTATATCCCTCTATATGACTATTCAATCCCAATCTGTCTTTCTTTCTTTCTTTCTTTCTTTCTTTCTTTCTTTCTTTCTATTCAGCCCCAATCTCTATCTATCTATCTATTCTGTGCCAATCCGTATCTTTCTTTCTTTTTTTTTCTTTCTTTCTATTCAGTCCCCATATCTATCTATCTATCTATCTATCTATCTATCTATCTATCTATCTATTCAGTGCCAATCCCTTTCTTTCTTTCTTTCTTTCTTTCTTTCTTTCTTTCTTTCTATTCGGTCCCAATATCTATCTATCTATCTATCTATCTATCTATCTATCTACACCTGGTTTCTTATGTAGCACCGCAAAAATGGACATGCCAACTTTTTTCCCTTTATGTCGCCCCTGTCGTGTATTTCGTTTATTCCTTCTATAACCTTGTTAATGAATGCCATGAATTTCTATGAAGACAACATCTCGTCTATCCCGTCCATCTTGTCCCTCTGCTTTGTTCTTGTTTGTCAATGCAACTCTTATTTCTGGTTTTAATATTTCCATTCATACAATTTCCTTATTGTAGATGTCTGTCTCTTATTGAGAAATCGTTCTTTTATATTTTCATTCAATCGTTGGTCTATTTTTCTTTTTCTATCCCTTCCCTTGCCATTATACAACCTGTTGTTAACCATATCTATTCCCCTGTTAATTATTTTAGGCATACTTTTTTTAAGGATTTCTACTCTAGCAAGGCCGGAGTGCTACTAGTTCGTATCTCTCTATCTATGTATTCAATACCTATCTGTTTATATCTATCTGTATGACTATTCAATCCTAATCTCTGCTTTTCTTTCTTTTTATTTCTTGCTTTCTATTCAGTCCCAGTATCTATCTATCTATCTATCTATCTATCTATCTATCTATCTATTCAGTGCCAATCACTTTCTTTCTGTCTATCTATCTACCTATTCAATACATATCTGTTTATATGCATTTGTATGACTATTCAATCCCAATCTTTCTTTCCTGCTTGCTTTCTTTCTTTCTATTCAGTCCCAATATCTATATATCTATCTATCTATTCAGTGCCAAACAATTTCTATCTTTCTATCTATCTATCTATCTATCTATCTATCTATCTATCTATCTATCTACATTGCATTTGATTTTTTGAAGATTGTAGTTATCAGGGAAGCAAGTAAACGGAAGGGAGTTCCACAGACGGGAAGTGCGGTAAAAGAAGTTGATGTTGAAACTGCCTCGGTTACATTTAACTATCTGAACGTTATTTTGGTGGGACCTAGATGCCAGTCTAGTAGCACGCTTCAATTTATATAGTCGGGGCAGAACAACAGTCATGGAAATATTTGTAAAAAAAATGATAGAGGGAAGCCACATCCCGTCTGTTAGAAAGTGACAGGAGTTGAGATGGCAAGTCAGGACCGATTACACTGCAGGTCGAGGAGCTCGAGATGAAAACGTGAAGGGCAAGACCAAATATGGCGACAGTACTCAATGTACGGACGAATGGTAGATTTGTAGATATGTAGGATGAAGTCTGACAAGAAAAACCTTCTGGCACAACACAGTGAGCCAATATTCTTTGCCGCAGAGGCAACTATTGAGTCAATGTATTTGTTCTACTTCAGGTCATTTGAAACAGTGAGGACAAGGCGCAGAGTGACCCTCACCTGGAGTCTAGCATCAAGCATGATAATGGCGGGCAGGGAATTATCTCTGTTGTGGCTAAATGAGGGCATTTTCGTTTTGGAGGCATTAAAACTTACAAGCCATTTCCTACCCCAGTTAACCACTGACTGAAAGTCATTTTCGAGAGCAGCGGCCAGGTTGACATTTTCAGCACTACCGGGTTTACTACTGAGACAGGAGTAAATGGTAGTGTCATCTGCATAAATGCCTACTTGGGAGCTGATGACATCAAGAAGGTCATTGATGAAGATCAGAAACAGTATAGGGCCCAGGATACAGCCTTGGGGGACCCCCGCATTCATAAGATAGGATCTGAAAGCATTCTCGCTCAGAACGGCCTTCATATCATGATTTGAAAGGAATGATTGGATTAAATCAAATACTCGTCCTCTAATACCGTAGCCCTGAAGCTTACGCTGAAGACCAACAGACCAAATTCTGTCGAACGCCTCCGAGATATCTAGAGCCATAGATCGAGCTTCAACGTTTTTATCAAGAGCATGATATATATATATATATATATATATATATATATATATAATATATATTCATATATGAATTATATTCAGTTATGTGAGCACATCAGCGGTAGACCGGACAAAGTGGAATCCATATTGTTTGCCAGAGGTTATTGAGAGATAGGGTGCTTAACCTCTTCGGCGTTGATTAAAGCCTCGAAGACTTTGCCGAAAAGCCGTAGGAGACTGACAGGGCTGTAGTTAGAGGGGTCAGAACGCTCACTAGATTTCTTAAAACAGTGGCTACAGACTTCCAAAAAGTTGGAAAGCAGGAAACATGGCGGCAATATAGGCTGGAGAGAACTGGGACCAGCTCAGGAGCATATTTCTTTAGGAGAACGGCTCGTATTCCATCACCTCCACTTACTTTACGGGAGTCTAATTTAGAAATAATATCCGAGTCCAGCCATGGTGATATGCACATATCATTCAGTAGAGCATGAGTTCTATCGGGGTGGGGTATCAGGTATTGGTACTGCGGACGAGTCGGTTGTTCAGTTGGGTGACAGTTTCAGAGCAAAATATTCAGCCTTATCTGCTATGCACGTCAGGACTTGAAATTCGTTGAATAGAGGAGGTATTGTGGATTTGCTGTTTTTCAGCACAGTTTTGCAAAGCCACCAATAATCTCTTGAACTGAACTTGCTAGATGCTTTATGCTGATTCATTCTGTCAGCAAACAGTAATTTGGCTTCTTGGCGTACAGGCTTGCATTCGTTCTGAGCAACGACAAATCGACGTCTATTGCAATCGGACTTGTCGCCCTGATATAGTCGGAAGGAGTGATTTCTGTGGGCTATATCGACCGAGCATGCAAGAGAGAACCAGGGAGATGAATGCGGTTTAACTTGCTATTTCCTAGCTAGAATGAACGCATCAGCGTCGGCTTGGTCCCCAGGAGGAGACCCCAGACCGCGTATATCTGTATGGGGTGATTAAAAACCACATTCCAAGAGACGTCTCGAAGGAAATCACAGAATGAGTCCCAATCTGCTTGTTGATACCAGAAAGATATTCTGTTGATAGGAGGGTCATGGCAGATGGGAAGGCGAGAAAGATGTTTAAATATACTACAGCGTGATCAGAATTACCAAGTGGGCAGAGCTGCGTAGAACGAAAAGAGTCATGGATACAGGCTTAATCTCGAAAAGATTTCCAAGACCAGCGACGTTGTTATGCACATATCACTCAGTAGCGCATCAGTTCTAGTGGGGAAATCAGGTACGCGTACGAGTCGAGTATTGAATTGGAAGAGAATTTCCGAGCAAATGGTGCTGACTTATCTGCTGTAGATGTCAAGACTTCGTATTGATTGAATAGAGGAGGTATTGAAGATTTTCTATTGTTCAGCAAACACTTGCAGATCACCAATAATCACTTGCACCGAACTTTCTAGATGCTATACGCTTATTCTCTCAGCAAATAATAGTTTGGTTTCATTGAGGATACGCTTGCCTTCGTTCCAAGCAGAGACAATGAGACGTCTATTGCAATCGGACTTGCCGTCCTGGTACAGTCGAATGAAGTGATTCCTGTGCGCTACAGCTGCCGAGCATGCAATAGAGAACCAAGGAGATGAACGCGGTTTAACTTGGTATTTCCTAGCTGGAATGAAGGCATCAACCCCGGCATTTTACCCAGGAGGAGACCTCAGACCGCGTATTTCTGTATGGGGTGATTAAAAACCATATTCCAAGATACGTCTCGAAGGAAATCACGGAATGAGTTCTAATCTGCTCGTTGAAAAGATATTCTGTTGGCAGGAAGGTCATGGCAGCAGGAGGTGAGGAAGGAGATGTTTACAGATACTACAGCCTGACCAGGATTGACAAGAGGGTGTAGCAGTTTAGTACGACAATCGTCAGGGATAGAGGTAAAATAAACATCGAAAAGAGTCGTGTTTTCGTCAGTGTTACTGGGGAAACGCGTGGGGATGTCAACAACTTGCGTGAGAAATTGGGTGATTGAGAAGATAAGGGTTTAGATGGTGTGCGTTAGAATCGCCGAAGACGAATATATTTCCTAACCGGTGTTGGGAGTTTATATTCTCGGAAATAACGCATAACAGTCGTGAGAGGAAAAGGGACTGTAGAGAAAGAAAAGATAGGTGACTGAGTTAAGTAGAGAGAGACGGAGACATATGTACAAATGTCTGGGGATTCGAAAGAGAGTTCCTTAGCCAGCATGAGTTGTTCGGGGACATAAATTCCCAGGCCATGCTTGAGGACTTTAGAGTCCTTTCTAAGTAGAGAACGGTAACCAGGAATCGAGAAATCAGAAGAGGGGTTAAAGAGTTAAGATTAGTCTCGTAGAGAGTTAGAATGTCCAGAGACTTTTTAAAAAGGAACGATTCCACACTGAAATAGTTAGTACGAATACCACAAATGTTGGAGAAGGAAAGGTTAAAGGGTTTACGCGTTTTTGTTGAGCTGGTTTAGGTTTATATCTTTGGTTGGTTATAGTCATGATGTGTTATATTGGTAAAGAGAACGCCCATGTTAAAAATGCCCTTGTGCCACATCTTGCCTTGTGGGGAGATTGGTAAATAGAGAGAAGGCATAAGGTGCTAGATGTGGTATCAATCGATCATTTGATGTGACATATGCAGTAAGAATATGGTGCAGACTGCAATATAGTGTGACCTCTGGGATGCCCACATGAGGTAAACTGCATTAACACCATTCCATGTGCGACCTGGCGCTGCAAGAACACCAATATTATGCAACTATAGATCGGAGCAGCCTTTCAACACGCTATACAAGTGTTTGGGCCACTAATTACCAGTTGGGAACAGCAACCAGAAAACTGCCAACCAGGTACACCCACTAAGAATACACGTTGTCAGAAACGATACACATCGCAAGAAACTCATGACAACACTGCTATTAATGCCTGAGAAGAAGAAAGAGACCGGAAACCCATTTCTACAAGGGAAACAGGGGTGAGCCTCTAATCATGTCCATGAAAAGGTGATTATGGACTGGGCGATAGAAGGGAATATCTACACCTATTGGAAAAAAAAAGAATTTCAATTTTAGTCTGCCCATATCTATCTATCTATCTATCTATCTATCTATCTATTTACCGTACTAGCTACCAATTTTGTCCCAATCATTCTATCTATCTAGCTAGCTATCTAACTAGCTAGCTACCTAGCTACTAGCTACCTAGCTATTTAGTCCCAATCTGTTTCAATCTATCTATCTATCTATCTATCTATTTTCAATCTGGACTGGTCGATAGGAGAGCCTATCTACACCTATTGAAAAAAAAAAAAAAAATTTCAATTTTAGTTTGCTCATATCTATCTATCTACCCAACTAGCTAGCTATTTTGTACCAATCTGTTTCAATCTATCTTCTATCTATCGATTTCAATTTTAGTTTGCTCATATCTATCTATCTATCTATCTATCTATCTATCTATCTATCTATCTACCCAACTAGCTAGCTATTTAGTACCAATCTGTTTCAATCTATCTTCTATCTATCGATCTATCTATCTAGTCCCAATCATGACCGGGCGATTGGAGAGCCTATCTGCTCCTATTAAAAAAGAGAAAACAAAGACACCAACATTTTGTTTCTCATCATTTCTTTTCCGTGCGCTTTTCATTGAGACTTGCTCTTCCCATCTGCCTGCATTTGTTTCGAATTTCTACGCCTAGTGTCCCGTCCTCTTTCCATTGGATTTTATCTGCTATTTACTATATCCTCTCTTGTTTAGTTATCTTTGCAATGATATCATACAAAGACGTTCCTCGCGGCTTCTCTCAATGCCTTCCAAATTATATCTGTCAACCGGTGATAATAATATCACATGTTGGGTAAATAATATCGCGTCGTGATCACCAATATAACGAAAGAGAACAATAAAAGAAAGATTTCTTCTCCCAATTAAGTTTCCCCAACTATGGGCATTATTATATCCATGATATA